TAATATTGTTGAGAAATGTTTGCACCTTGGGGTAGCCTCATTATAAATAGTTCGAGATTGGGGCAGGTTTCCAAGTCTGACCATATTCACGGGCCTTCTTGTGTACCAACCTCACACGAAAAAGTCTACCACACCCAGAGCATTCTACTTCTCATTTCAATTTAAAAGATGATTTCTGGGACAGTCGCCGTCTGCATTGCTGTCGAGGTGATACATCCATACTTAGAGATGATATAAATATCTATTTTTAGTCAAGAATCAATTAACAGAGAGAGGGAGTGCGGCTGGCCAATTAACATCTAGTAGATTTTTACCCTGGCAGTAATAAAGACTCTTGTTCAACAAGACGGCAGTCATATCGATCAGTCAGGGGAGCCATTTGGTTCACGTTACAACCTTCAGGGTATTGTCAAGTCCTGCATATATGCCAGTGAGATACTATTTCAGGAAACAATAGACCTTTTGGTGATATTTGGTGCATCAGTAGCATGAATTCATGCAAATTGATGCAAATTATTATACAGTTTTGAATATGAAAAGTGGGACTTTTTCTGAATAACTTATATATATATTGGTTACGAATAACTTAATGTAAATGTTCTGGGACTCATTAGTGTATTTCTGAACTGAAATATCCATTTCCAGTACTATGGAAGGCAGGGGATTACTCCTGTGTGCAGATGGGACTGAACATTTTAAGAATGCCATCCTAAGACTTTGTGAATCATGTGACAAGGATTGTTAAATACCGCCGCCACACGACTTAGATTACAAGTTCAGGACGAGGATTGACAGTCTTAGATTTTACCATAAAAACGCATATGATAATCTAATATACTGCGATTGTTAACATGTACCATTAAACGATTCTAAAATACGAATTACATGGTACCAGCGACACGATACTTTGTTTTGTATCAATACTTTAACATATTTCTAGTCTCCCGGCTGTTGTGCGATGGATTTCATATTTCCTTGAACATATTCATGTAGTCATTCTGTGCTACTAGTTTATCTTCAGTTTATCAAATTCAGGAGTCTCAGAATTGCACATGATAGGTGCCACAGGCGGAGTTGTCGGGAAAACGTCTGACCATACATCTTTGTCACTCAGATTCAGATTGCGTTGTGTCTGTTGTTTTGTTCTTGTAAATTGTTGCCAGTAGTTTGTTTTGTGATCTTTGAAATTCTCTATACGACCGTGGCTTTTGTACAAAGATCCACAATTGGGTAAGTTATTAACACTTTTCACTACTAACGACAATGATACAATCAGTCTGGAACTGTATTCTGTAATAAAAAGTGGCCGCCAGTCTGAGATTCTCAACATTATCCGAAAAATTCAAATTGTGTGCAACTAGGTCACAGCTCCGGAATAGTGAAAATGTGCGATTTTGATGCATATTAAGTCTCCATTTTCGAACTGCGCCCAAAAAGAGCCTAATAAATGAATGTTTTAACGTCAAAATTCTATTTACGGTGTTCATTTACTCTGACGAGAATGCACAAATTATTTAGAATTGCCACGGAGAATACTGCATATCGTGTCCTACTATAATACTAGTAATTGGATTGCCTTCAGTGGGAATACATGGACCATGTTCTTACACGGCCAATATTCTTATTATAATGACGTGCGGGGCGAGTGTTGATCACTCACATTTGTGACGAGGCAGTTAGTGTATATATAGTTATGTTTGGAAAACAACGATTAGTTGTAAGTGGTATCTTTGTGGTAAGTGGTATATGTGGGTTCCACCACGAACTACTTGCAATATATTAAACGTTTCATCAATCCCACACAAGAATTGTCAAGATCCTAGCATAGCATCTGCTTAATAGAAATCAGTTGCGTTGAGGCGTTGAGTCATAGCGTTTTTCACAGTGGGGAATCAGACACTGGCATGTTTACAGTTCTAAGTACGATCATGAATTTGTTTTGCGTTGTATTCAGACTAAATAAAATAAACCAGTTAGGCATTTGTTTCACACATAGTTAGGGTAGGAAGAACTCTAGTCCAACTTATGCCTAGGTGAAAAAATCGCGCCGTGTTACACGATGTGCCACAAAGCAATTCACCGAGTAGAACTTGGATAACGTTGCCACGTAAAGTAGAAGCAGTCATAATTTTTTTACAAAATTGGTCATAAATTGCATGACAATGTTCATTAGTTTATTATGTACAATCATGAAGCTAGTATCTCATGGTACAATATTTTGTGTGTTAGTTATGCTTTGAAAAACATTGTAATATTTCTTGAAAATTGCTATTTTTAGAACAATTCCATAGAACATAATGTTAAAGAAAAATTGCATTTTTTGACACTTTTTAAAACCCAGATTTTTTAAATAAATCAGAACAAAAAGTACTCAATCATTAACAATATACGATTTTTTTCAGCCTGTCACCAGGCTAGATTTTGAGATATTGCATAATATCTCTGCCATAGGAACCTGTGGTAAAGTGTTATAAAGTGTCAAAATGGCGACTTTCCACTAAAATACAAACATCAATTTCTTGAAAAAAAGGCTGGTGACCCCCAACTTATTTTCGGTCAAGTAAGCAAATAACACCGAATAAACGGCAAGGTAAAGACTATGTCTAATTATAGTAAACACATACTGCGTGCGTGACTCGAACCGGCGCTCGCGTACGGCACCTATGAGTTTAAAAATATTTTCGGTCAATATCTTTATATTGCCTTGGCGTACAATTTTTTGCAAAATGAATAAATGTTTTTTTTAATTTATGAGTAGGCTTCTACCTCGCGCATGGTTGTGTGTTGTATGTCTGTCTTGGTGCATCGATGCGCACAAACATGGCACTCTACGAATTGAGGTTATGTACATTAGCATGACAGCATTTATGAAACTGGTGATTAATACCTCGTACTCGCATAATTATTAACAAGAATGAATTACCTCCCAATGCCAACGTATTCTGTTAATAAGTTTCTCTTGAGTGTCAATCGTCCGATCGGCTTATACTGATTTACGGCCAAGTCATTTCTGTTGATGAATGGTGTATCAACGGTCTTTCTAAACTAGATACCTCATTTAAAGCTTTGCAACTACACACAATTCCAACTTAAACAACATTATTAAAACTATTGTAAAAATAAGACAATCTTTCAAATCCTAGTCACAATGTCAAGATACTTGCTCACTCACCTGCGTCGTAAGACACCACGCCAAGTAGACAGCTTCAAACTTATTAGTTGCTAGAAAAAACTGCGACCCCTCGCTTACAAATTGTAAACGCCGAATGGTCGGCAGAAGTACGTTCCAATCATGTATGCTTTCAGTCAATGCAGCAGAGTGCCATATTGTTTTTAATACGTCTTTTTACAAACTATTTAAATTAAGGTATTTATAGAGAACGACTTACCACAAGGCTGCTATTCACCTTAAAATTGACATTTCACAAATATCTGGTTACTGAATATCAAAACACTGACCACAATCTGTTTATACAATCATTTTCTCATTAACTCCAAATTAAGAACCACATAAAGTAGCCTCTATATTTTTGAAATATTAGAATATTGACATTCAGAAATCATAATAGCATCTTGTGTTTAAGGTTCAGCAAAAAATGGATTCAGTTAAATTCAGATTTAGACTAGTCAACGTGGATTGATTAGGTTGTTAGGGAAATATCACCAGCGATTACAATAATACTTCAATTTTGCTTATGTATATACATGAAATACTTAAACTCGCACAAAACACTTGGTGAAAAGACCATAGTTCGATTTATTTGAACAAGATCTTACAGAAAAATACTCAAGTTATTAGGTTAGAGATGGACGCGTTTAACGAGGTGTTGCAATTTGTTTGCAGTTTTCAAAATTGGGCATGTTATTCTTTTATAAGAATTTGCAAACGCTGAACATGTTCACAGCAATTGTAGCTTCAAAGAAAAAGGCTAGGACCTGGTTAAACATTTTTGTAACAGGTTATAGAACTTCGGAGGTTGCTATCGACAAATTACACACTCCAATAAATATAGCCAGAACATAAACAAAAAAACATTTTCCTTGTACGTGACGTATTTAAATACTAGTATTACTTAATTAAAAACAATATTCAACAACTTTCCTAACGTTTGAATTGTTACATTTATTTACTTAACCCATGATAATCTTTGCAGTGTACTATTCACTAATGCCAGTTGAAATAGAATATCACTGACGGAAATAAACATTGATTGGACGTGCTTGCCACATGAACAATGAATACTACTGGCTCAAAACGAACTAGTAATGAATGAGGCGTTTATTGATAGCAACGGTTTGCAACTTGTTACAGCATCAACACATTGAGACTTTGGGATTTGCCATTAACATCTTAAAACTAATCTTTGAGCAAAGTTCGAAATTTAACAGTTTGCATAAAATAAAACAACATGCAACTTCAAAGCTCACCTAAATCTTCATTATGCATAAAATCATAATTTAGCAACTTTGTATATGGATTACAATAAGCATTTTCAAAGCAACCACCTGATTACCATACCCACATCCAAAAACATAATTGATGTTAATTAAATATAGTGATAATTATTTACAGACTTGAAAAAATGCAGTTTTATTCATAAGCAAATTAAAATGTCAATTAGGATACAAAATTCTCAAGTACAAAAGGATGTCAAGGATTTGTTTTTTTTTGTATTCAAGAGCATCATGTCCATCTATTGAGATTAAAATGTAGTGGCATGTAGAATTGTATATTAGCTAATATCAGTTAATGAACTAATGGGATAAACCAATCTGAAAACCCATTTTATGCAACCATACACTTCAATGGCCAAGTTCATTGAGGCATGCAAGATGGAAATTAACGTTATTAACACATTGTTTCTGGATCAAGTTAGGTTTTACATTACTACTGTATACACAAAACTGAGCACTACTTTGGTTTCCAAAGCAGTATGACCACATAGCTGCTAACAGTTAAAGCGCCCTCACACAACACTAAGAAAACACTAACCATACCATTTATTAATTTGAGCATTTTATTCATGTTGATGAAATATTTAAATACAGAATAATATTCTTTTTTTTAAAATATAGGGAAAACACTTTTATGGACATTAGATAGAAACAAATACAAGTGATGAAAATAAAGTTGATACAGTTGGAGTGAAAGGTAAAGCTATACACAGTCGATTTTGTTCCAAATTATATGTTTTGTATGTGAACAAAATGCTAATCTAATGACAACACATTTGCAGACAGACATAGTTTTCATATTGAGAGAACTAGAGAACTAAAAAAAACGAAACAAAACAAAACAAAACAAAACAAAAAGTACAAAAATACTTTAAAAACTGGTTCTTCGTCTCTTTAATAGTGACGCATATATAATTTCTTGGAAAAAAATCTTTTTTCATTACAGTGTCACACTAAACAGTACATAGAAATGACTCTTTTATAAAAATGAAATCTTTTAAATAATTATGCCTCATACTTTATTCAATGAGTGGCTTGGAAGCCATGATACCAATGTAACCGTGGTGGCCCATATAATTCAGAAAAACTTGTAGGCCATATTTTAAGTCTGTGGCCTAGAGAATACACTTACTGACAAGTGGAATAACTGTATTTCCACAAAGCACTTGGCCTTTGTCAATACTGGCAAGACGTTTTACTGACTGTTCTGTGCATGCCTTGTTTGCAGTTTAAATCCACACCAACTGCAGTAACATAGGCTCAAACAGGTTCTTCATCTATAATTCGGGATGGTAATCCCAATCCAACAGATTTCACCAATACCATTTTACTTGCATCTTCACACCATACACACTTGGATAGCTGGGGAGCACTTTCACCTCCCCAATGCACAGGTACTATATACACAAGTTTTAACTACAGGTCATCCATCTCCAAGTAGTCTCTGCCATGTGAACTAAATCTAAAATACTGGAAAGTTTATTTCATGTACACACATTATATGAAAGGTTCATCTGTTACAAAAGCAGGTTACACTCATTTACCAGTTAGTGTGAAGTAACTGAAAATAAAAATTCATCATACTACCTTGTACAGACTTGTGGATACACAACACATTTACCATAGATGTATGGATAAAAGTCACTGCGAGGAAAGCAGATTTTGCCACCAAATAATGGTTATACACCTGAGTAAAGCTGGGTAACTTCCAACTATCTTGGAATTGCTAGATCTATACTGGCAGGGTCACTGAATGGACCTGGTCTCTTGAAGTTATCCACAGCACAAACAGCAAAGTGATACACACTTCCTGGCTGAAATTGTGTCAATGTGCATGCCATAGGCAATGGAAGTGCACGCACATCACCTATTTTTTTCCATAGATTAGTACTGGGAGATCCTTCACTTTCTTGATAGGCAAACAGAAAATAGTATTCAATGGGTGCCCAGACGGGTCAATAGTCATGGTCCAGGATAATACAATTCCGTTGTTCACTTTTGAAATTTTCAGATTTGGTTTACCAGGTAAAGGCAACTGAAGTTGGTGGGGTAACAAAACAGTTCTTGGTGGTGTTGGTAAGACTGGAAGAGGTGCGGGGTGTCGCAAAACAGTTTGCTGAGCCATTGCATCCTGATATCTTGGTGGTCCAGCAAGTCGTTCAGCATTTATCTGGCCTTGAACTTGTACTTCTTGTTGCTACAAAAAATAAATAAACATATAAAACATCTGAATAACTTGTGACAAATCAGGATAATGTGTGATAAGTATTATAAGCTTGCACATAGTATAGGAATATAAAAATTGACTTAAGTTGGAAATTTAGACATTTAGAAAGCATATTATTTTAAACAAAAAGTTACTTAATTATATATGTATGTATAATTATAATTATGTACTCATTTAAAACTTGGCTCTAATATATGGCAAAATAAAATAAAGACACTGTAGTATCCTATAAATTCTAAAATAAAATGTCAACTTCTGGATCTCGTAGATGCAACAACCTTCCACTTAATGGGATAGCAGATCTTCTCTTGATGTAAAGCTCACACTAATTATTTCCACAGAAAATTGTTTTAAACTGTCACACAAACAAACATGAACATACAAATGAGTACTTGTGAAGAAATTAAAAAATACAATTTCTTCTCTTAAAAAATGTAAAATAAAACAATCATAAAAGTCAAAACAATTTTGTACATTTCAGTTGTTTGTTTCCACACCATGGTTAGCAAAAACTCTAGAAAGCTCAACAACAAAAATTATACATCTCTGAAAAAATTATGAAAGTGCTCGCTGAATAGTTGTCAGAATTAGAACAAAGATTTATATTAATTTGCACATTTAATAGATAAGTAGCAGAGTTGTTGCTGCATTGATTTTTTTTAAAAAGTCATATTTTCTGTGACCAATGTTTTAATTTATAGTAAAAAGTAGATATCTGTTTATCAACTAAAGAAGTTATTCTCGACTGGTATTTCATGCTTGACTTTGTGGATTTATTAATCATTTAAATAACATGCAATTATGTAAATTAATTTATCATTATAATGACAGTCAACTGTGACCATGTTTTACGTATGTTTCAAGTTACGATGGACCTTTAAAATATTCATAGAATAATAAGATGTACCAGTAGTACATCCTCAACTTATTCAAATTAGAAATCGAATAAAATATATTGAATTGTAACAAAAAAAATTAACACCATAGTTGGCAAAATTATAGTACACTACACAATATGACTGTAGTACAGTACAGTACAGTACAGTACAGTACAGTGCACTGTACTGGCGTGTCTTCAACTAACAACATGTTAGAATGAAACAGTGAAGCAGGACAGACTGATGGATGGACAAATGGATATATTGAGTAACTGCAGTACTCACAGTTATGTTTTGGATCTGGTGTTGTAACTCATTATGATCAGATCCATGAGGTTCTTTTTCTTTTAAATTAGATAGTAATTTTGCTTTGTGTGCAAGTAATCTGCATTGATGTTCCTGTAATACATGTGCCACCATGAAAGGGAATATTATTGAAACAAGCAAGCATTTAGTGCAGCTGGTATTGGAAGTAAGCATATAGACAACCTTGCCCAAAATAATTAAATTTTAAATGCAGTGATCTAAGTTAGATGCAGCTATACATGCATACATGTAACAAGCACTACTTAGCGTATGAGAAATCACAAACCAAATTATGTCTATGAATGATTCAGGGTATCTGGAATGGCCATTTGTAGCCAGTGTTCTCCCTAAAGCGTTTAAGGGTAGCTGGCCACTATGTGATTTACACTGAACAGATTGCAACTCTGAAAACATTCCACTTTGACTGAACTAATCTTAACTTTAATTGTTAATCTGCTGACTGAAAGTAAGTGTTTGTGTTGCATTCGAAAGTTGAAAGCAAATCAGAAGCAATTCAACAACAATGAAGCTGTCATCACTGTTAAATTACTTTTGAAGTATATATGGTCCATGAACAGTGATGGAGAGATCGTAACAGACATGCATCCATCAATTTGACCGTTGACGACTCAGCATTTTCAAAATCAGCTATTTATTTACTTGCTGATTCAGCAGTTGATATGTTTATTAGCAAGCACAATTAACCTGCATTTTAAGTGAGTAAAATAAATCAATCAAACTGTGGTATGCAAATTTCCAGCACATTCAGAGAGCAGTAAAACAAAGAATTGGAGGGGGGGCGCTATCAATTGTACATACAGGTATAAATTATGTCTAATTCTAAGAAAATTGAATTCTATGAAAATTAGCCACAAGCATGAGAAGAACACTGATGTAGCATGCAAAACATTTTATAGCTGAGTCTGTGCTGCTATAATTTGACTTTGGAAAGAGCAGCTTATGATAGGAAATAGAACATCGACGCAAGATTATATCTTCGCAACAGTGGATACAATTTACTGTGGCCACAGGGTAAATTTACTGTTTTCAAATATAGCTACCTTTCACAAGGCATTTCAACAAAACAATTTTTTTTTGGCTCTAATATGCTAAACAAGAAAATCATCAAATGAATGCATAGATAACTACTATCGTTTCAGTCATTCTTTGAACGATTATGTTCAACTAAATATTGCTACACTACAGCAAGTTATCATCAATATTGTTGGTAAATGTACAGCAATTGCTTCCAATGTTGTTGAAGTTGTTTTGCTACAATAAAGTCTGTTTTGATACATTTGCGATGCACCCATGTCATGTTTACAATTCTAAGGTGTCTGTGACATTGAGTACAAGCGTAATGCTGTTCATATTTTGAATAACAGTGATATTATAATAATTGTGGGGTACATTGTATATTATGCTAACCTTAAGTAAACGCATAGTCTCGGTAGGATGTTTATTAATCCCAGAATGTGCCTGTAATTGTGAGAGTGTTGATTGAGAAACAACTTGCATTGGTTGTGCTGGTGGGCGTTGCTGCTGCTGCATTTGTGGCTGTGGTAATCGTGGATGAATACTTGTTGGAACTGCTTGTTGTGGTAATCCAACAGTCTGCACTATTCCTCCTTGCTGAAAACATTCAAAGACATACAAATCATGCCAACCACAACATCACACAGTACAGATATACCATAATGAAGAATTAGAATCTTATGATGAAAAACTTGGAAAATAATAAGAATTTTGAATTGTCATATTTAAACATGTACAAATTATAATTTTTTCAAACCAAAATATGGTCATTAGTCAGAGTTAAATTATGAAACAAATCAACATGTTCTAAAGTACAAGGTACTGTCCTATGGCACAAAAAATAAATATTCTTTCAAAAAGCAGAAATGAACCAAGAGATTTTTTGACCTACAAATAGATCATTTTCTATAAAGGCAGCAAAAAAAAAAACCCAAAAAAACTGCACTTGCAACTAATGTTTAAGAATTCTGAATAAATGACGACCACTAGTTGGCTATTCATAATCAGATCAAAAATACTCAAGCCAGTGTATGAATTAAAGAAATTTGTACCTGAGTAACTGTTGGATGTCTCTGTAACTGCTGTAGCTGCATTCGACCTGTGGCCGACTGTTGGGCCATTGTTACTGGCTGTGTCATTCCAGCTAAAGACATGGCTACCCGGGGCTGCGACTGTGGGTTCTAAACAAAACAAGGTTTCAAAATATTGATAAGAGATTATTCATTGTTTGATTTTTCAAACAAGCCATAACATAACACAATTGTTATACATTTTCACTGAAAGATGACATGGTAGTGTCTTGTCCCATGACATATACTTACAAGAGGTGAATGCGAACAGTAAATACATGAAGGAGATAAGGTTTTAATTAGTGCATGCACGCCTAAGATCTGGTACCGAACTATTTCCACACCTTGTGAAATTTTGCATGATTCTGCAAACTAGTGAGCCACAGTTCATATTCTATGATATGTAAATGTATCACAAAGAAATAGTTACTCTTTGAGATGCACAATGTGAAAACAATCCAATGCAGGGTATTGCTTGCTCAAACTTAGTCTACCATATTCAGCATATGGCAGGAAAAGGCTAACACTGATTTACAAGAAATATTTCATGCCTTTCAGTTAGAAGCTGTTGTTTGAACAAAATCTACCTATGTGCAATAATGGCATAGAATAAATTTTCAGCACTGAAATTGCCATCATTTAACCATTTTGAATGCATGTGCATAATATGTTTTAACAGCACAGGTGTGTCAGAGTAAAAATCTTCTCACCTGCATCCTTTGCTGCATTCCAGCATGTAGAGGGTACGGTGGTCTGGCTGCCATTATTGTTGAGGAAATGGGTTGTTGCACAGCATTCGTAGTCGAGGGTCTGCCAATATTGTACACACTTGTTGTCATGCCAACTGGAGTAACTGTTGTAAGTGATGACGGGGCAGAGACTAATATTGTTTGAGGCAGGCCATGCGAGGGCTCTGTGTTTGTGAAAGTGCTGCTGTTACAGAGAGTGGCATTGTTCTAGTGTTTACTGCAACAGAAGGACTAGAAAAAATAGTATTTGCGATAGTCATCAATCGATTATTAATGACAGGTGATGCAGATGAAATTGAGGAAGGTTGCATTGCTATTTGAGATGGCATGGATTTAGCAACAGAAATCAGTACTGGCGGAGACCCTACTTGAGATGTATTGACTTGGTTTCTCAATTGTTGGAGCGGCTGCTGTTGTTGATGTTGTTGTTGTTGTTGTTGTTGTTGGTGGTGGCTGCTGTTGTTTCTGAAGCTGAATGAACTGCTGCTGTTGAGTTCGTTGTTGGTTTTGCTGATTTAGTATCTGCTGTAGATTTGGGTGTTGCTGCTGCTGCTGCTGCTGCGTTGTTGCTGCTGCTGAATTTGTTTTTGAAGGTTTTGAATATCTTGTTGTTGCTGCAATCGCTGTTGTTGCAGTTGCTGAGAAACCATAAGTGGCTGTTGTGTTGGTTGATGCTGTGGAAGCTGTTGTTGTACTTGCTGCTTTTGTGGTTGCCCCTGTGGCTGTGCTTGTGGTGACTGTCCTTGCTGCCTAAGCTGTGTTTGCTTTTGAGGGGATGATTGCTGTGGTCTCTGTTGTTGTGGTGATGCAGCTGGTTTTGTCGGTGATGGCTTTGGTGCCCCTGGTGTACTTGACTGTGTTGGTTCATCATCATCAGTTAAATCAATCACCACAGCTTTATTCTTAGTGGCAGGTGGAGTTGTTTTGACAGGTTGAGTTGATCCTTTGGCTTGGGTAGGGGTAGGAGTAGGGGTTGAGGTTGAGGCCACTGTGCTTGGTGCAATTACTGTCACTACTGGATGTCCTAGTTGGCTCTTTACTGTTGTAACGGGTACCACTACTGTTGATGGCTTGGGCCTTTGTTGAGAGGGCTAAAAGAAAAACAAAAAATCCTATTTAGTATTTTGTATTCATAAAAATAGTATCCTTAGAAAATATGTGAAACAATCATACCTGAATGTGAACATCAAATTCTGCATTTTAAAGAGACCATTTCATTAAATTTCATTGGGATATGATGTTACAAATATAGTGAATTGCAGTAAATATTGGTGGATTCACCCTTGCCACAGCAATTTGAAACTAAAAACTTTGGATGTATATTGCTAATAAAATTTCCAACGACTCGTGCAAATTTAGACCATCAAATAGAAGTTTAATTGAAACTTGCAGATAAACGATGTACATGTAAAATACTGTAAACCACTTAACTTGATGATTTTATGGCATTCTGAAGACAAAAGTCACTGACCCTTAGTGTTATATGACTTCAGAGAAAATTATCTCTCACAAAATTACACAACAGTTTACAGTGGGGGGGGGGGGGGGCAAGGGTTATTTTCGTTCATCGTAATTGCAATATTTTTTTGTTCGTACAACGAAAATTGAAAAAATAAATTTCGTAATTCTGTAATCACAGGCTAGA